AACCTTCTCGCAAATCGTCTCGCGTTCCGGCGGGGAGGGAAAAACTCTCGCGGCTCGATCCAGGTATCGAGAAAAGCGCTCAGCGGCGAGGCTACAGGGCAGCGGTCGTTGGATCGAATGATTAAATTGCCCAAGCACGGAAGAAACGAAGCTGTGTATCATCTGCACGTACGCCGCTGCATTAGCAGGAAGCAACACGCTACTCACCGCTAATTTAGCTTCAATCGGATCGGCGGATGACTCGCCGATATTAAGCAGGCCTCCCCGTCCAATTTGGCTGCAATCGCACTCCGGGCTCGCGGAGCCCGTCTCTCCCGAAGAATGCCATTGCTGTTCGCAGGATGCATTTGCGGTAGGCTGGCAACTGGTTTGTGGATAATGATGGGAGGATGCCGTTATTAGTACATTATTGCTCATTATACACTGTAGGAATACGTTCTGACGATCAGGGAGAGAGTGGGACAATCCATCTCGAATATTACTCGGAGTTTCGGTTGAGGACTCGAAGAGTCTCTGAACATTCGTGCCACGGACCCACAGACTCGTGCTCGCTGCTCGCCTCGAGCTCGAATGTTTCTTTTCTCTGAAACGGATCTAGTCTTGCTTCCAATCTATGCTCGCTGACCAGCAACGAGGACTCTGACGGCACGGCGGTATTCTCTTATCTCCGCGGGACCCCCGGCGGACCATGTTTGATGCAAATATATCGACTGCGCTTCTTTTTGAAATCGTATCTACGTCTCCCTTGTGGCAGGCTCGACTGCGTTTCTCGTGGCCATTTCCTTTATCATCTGCGTCCGACGATGTGTTGCTCAATCAAACAAACTTCGGAATCAGAGAAGGAACTTTCGCGAGAGTGGACTGTATTTTTATCGTTGCGGTCTTTCGGTCAGGACTCAGTTTCCGAGTAACGTAATTTTTGACGTAGGAGACGCGTTTTCCCCCAAATAGAAGCCGACTCCGTTTTCCGATAGGGCTTAATAGATAGGGAGTATCCGGGCGAATTGCGAATGGCGTCATGAATATCGACAAGCGCCGTCATGAACGCTTCCGATTTCGAATCCATCGCTGGATGAGAGGACGGATCCTCAATCTGCAGCTGTCGACTTCGACAAATTCGGGAATTTTCCGGAGGATATCCAGTAAGAAGGCACCTGATGACTCGTTTGGGCTTCCCTCGTATGCCTAGAGTTATTGTGGTCGCTTGATTAGTTCGAGTTTGGGCCGGAACTCGGAGAGTAGACATCGCGTCCATCAAAAGTTTGTCGTTATCGCCGCTTTTCAGTTGAATGGTCAACCGGTGGTCGAGGTGGTTTTGCCCCGTCCTCTCCCGCTATTTTCGTCGGTGGCTTTCGGCGAACGAGCCCGCGGTTCGCCACTTGTTATCACTACACTGCGCTGGATGGACACTTACGGCCGGAAGTCATGAGGATCGTCGCTTCGAAAAGAATTCTCGTCCGGACGCGCTCTCTCTTCTTATCAGTCGCGCGCTCGTTAGACCGAGGGAAGGAGCAGAGCTTGGCAGCAGACGAGCCCGGGAAGTGAATACTCACCAGAAGCCATACAGTGGGAAACTGCGAAACTGCAATACGAACCAAAACGTCGCCTGCTCCTTATTCTCGGCTCCGGTTCGCCAGACGATTTGCTCGCCGTTACGTGGATCCACCGATCGCGAAAAATTCGTCGATGCTGAATCGGGTGTTCCTCTCGACGTACCCCGGAAGGACGACGAACCAATGTGCAATATCATCATGGAGGTGCCAGAAAGATTAGCCGATTGATTTCATCCGGAAGCGGGAGCTATATGAGAAAACTAGAGGCGAAACGAGCAGTCCCCGGCATCAGTCGAAGAAACTCGAAACGGAATCATCATTTCTCGCCAAAAAGTGGCAATCGTGAGCGCCGGGCGAGGTGAGCGGCAGAGATAGCTGGTGGATTGGCGTCAATTCTCGTCGCTCCGCATGATTGATTGAGTTCGATGATAGATACATAGAGAGAGAGATGAGAGATTTTCTCGCCGCTTCAATCCCCCATCTCTGACGGACCGGCTCCGCTGACAACAGTGAGCTCCCGCACGCCTCACTTTGAATGAACCTTCTCTCAATTTTTTCCGTTCCTTCCTCCCTCCTGCCACTCTGGGTAACTTCGTTCTGCTCTGAGGAAATTTCGCGCGGGTTTCGTTCGAAAATTGAAACCGATTGAAAATCTCTTTGACAGATTACTGCTTCTCGCACGCCCATGAGGAATAGAATGATGATGACGATCGAACATCGAGGGAAGAAAAGAAACGTTGAGCAAATATCCTCCCGGACGGACCGCATTCCTAAGGATGAGCGGGCTTCATCAGTTTTCAAAACGTAATCTCCGGCTGAGCGATGGGCTGATCCTCGCCGAAAAATAAAGAGAGGAACGCGAATAGTCACGAGCAGAGACCCGATAGTCTGATCTAGTCAGGGTCAGCTCTGCCCGGATATGAGAGGAGGAAGGTGGGGAAGAAGTACATTCGCCCACATCGAAAAACTTTGGTTTCGATCGTTCATGCTGGTCCAGAACTCGAGCAAGCGAACAGGATCATTATGACCGCAGAGAAATCCGCTAAATGGTGGAGCGCATTAGAATGCGGGGAAGAGCAGCGAATACTGTTATCTGCGAAACAATTTCCTGAAACGGGCTCTCGAAACCAAGTTCGGGATTCGGGGAAGCCTTGTCCCGGGCGAAACTGCTGAGATTTGCTCCAAAGTTTCAGCTTCCGGACACTTCAAAGTTTTTAGGACCAGCCCAGGAGCGGCAACGATGTCGTCACACTCGAAATATCTCGACTGACGCGGAATCCGAGCCAGAGTCGAGTAGCCCGGACTCTCGCAACGAATATCTGTCGAATTTCCCATCAAGACGGAAAATTCCAGTTTTCCTGCGGTTAGAGAAATTGGCTGTTAGCGCACTGCGACGACCGAATGAGTAGGTCGCTTTTCCTTCCTGATACGAGGCTAATCGAGAACGATCGACGATTGTGCCAAAGAGGCAACTGTCAGCTTTGTTCCTTCGATGAGGATTCCCACCAGTCGATCCTCGACGCCCCGCGAGGGGCCCGGGTTAGCTCCCCTGATGTCAATCCGCATGTTCCACGAGAGACGGCGGTCCCGACAACGAAGACAAAGAACAAACTCACCTTGAGTCTTTTTTCTCTAAGTCTCCCGAGAAGCTCCCGTAATGGCTGACTCCTTCCTTCTCAGGCTTGTGGATCGGTCGCTTGCCCAGTGACTACGGATGGCCTCATCTCATTAGAATATCTTCTCCGTTGTTGAGCTCATCTGCATTCGAGTCGTCACCACCTCACCGATAGCGGTGGTGGCGGTAGCGACGGGTCGAACGTGGCTCGCTGGCCTGCTTTATTTCTCCCGCCTCGACTCCCTATCTATTTATCCCTCTCTCTGTCCCGCTCGTTCCTGATTTTCCTATGAAGCTCTTGACGACAGATAGACGGACGCCCGCTCGGTCGCTCAGTCGGACCAACCGACAGAGGAGCTCAATAGACACTAATTCTCAGCCGTAGCTTGGGGAATCAATTGATTTTTGCGTAATCAAATCTCCCACGCTAACTTTGAACTCTACACGAGGAGTCCCGCTCCTTGTCGAGGCTTCCCCGAGTGCTCGCCGGTCGACGTATTCGTCGTCACGAAGAACTTCGTTACACCGTTGAACTTTCGACTCTTGCTCGGGATTCCGTTTCTCCTATTTGTTCAAAGGAGCTCTCGTCGCCGAATCGCATATTTCCGCGGAGCAGCACCTTTGTCCCTTCGCGTCGGTCAAATTCGTTCCTGGATCAACCCGTCTCCGGAAAAAATCGCGAGAGTTTTCCCTGACGTAGACTTGCCGACTCGGCCCAAAAAGTTCATTCCGTTAGTGGAGTAGGTCATTATTGGAGAGGGAATGAGACTTCAGGGTGACAGCGAGGTGATCGAGCGCGCCGCTAGATACACCATCTGCAGATCGAGTATCTCCTGCGAGCGAACATCCCGTAGGTGTCAGCAATATCGAACGAGCATTAATCACTGCGTCGGGAGACGTTTGATAGAAAAAAATTGAGTCCTGCTAGGACCTGGTGCGGTACGTTGTCTTCTTCGGCTGGATTGAGGAGTCAATCGAGGTACAACCTCCTTCTGATTGCATCTGTGTCAGGACAAGTTAGCGTCCAACGTCAAATTATGTTTGTTAGCTAATACAACGAAACTCGAACTCCACTTGTCGCCGGCAACGTTTCCCTCATAAGGAAGAACACATCGGCGACCGAGGAAAGAGCTTTTTGTGGGGCGGGCCGAAAGTTCTCAGGTTTGCCTGGTGGTCGGAAGGCCCCGGGCTCCGCTTTCTTCAGCCATGATGGCATTCGGCTGGGGAAACAAACTTGATACAATTAATCGTTGTTGTTGCAGACTTTGCCAGTCTCCGGCTGATATATAATCGTCCCTGATGTTTTCCGGTTAACTCAGGACCCGATCGAAGGAAACCTCTTTCATGGAATAAGCTCGGAACACTTTTTTATTGGAAAACTACTTTATTTCTACCGTAGGAGGGGGGAATTGAGTTGCGTTCCGCCTCGGGATCTCTGTCGGCTGAGCGGACAAAATATGAGAAGCTGGAGAGCGATTTTCAGCGATGAAGACCGCCGGGCAATCTTTCATTCTTATCTGCTATTAAGCGCAGCTGCTCGAGCGAGTCTCTTCAACAGTCGTTGGACACAGAGGAGAACAAGAGGGGAAGAAGAGATATTCGTGGGGAGAGAAAGCCGCAGAGAAAACCAACCGACCAGAGATACTCCTTAATCTAAATATTATACACCGATTCATGCCTCCTGATATCGTATCTTTGACCACGTCTCCTTCGGCCGAGGCGGAGCTCTCGGGCTTTCTCGTCGTTGTTGTCTCTCGTTCCTCTCGCGGCAGTACCCAGAAGACAGCTCGTTGATATGGATTTCCGGACGATTCCTCTCGCTGCGATCTATAATGTCTCTGAACGAGCAAGTCACGAATCCCGCAGCTCGGAGACGAGTCGATTGCGGCCAGAGCACGACGATGATTGTCATCGGTGCGTCGGGAGGCTCCTGACGTCCATTGAGGGTTGCGCGCACAATTCCGAATGCTGCTTTGGGGGAAAAAGTGAACCGAGAGGGACCTTCCCGGTTCAGACATGGGAGGTCCGGTCTCGGAGCTCAGTGTAGGTGCTTATAAAGTTCACTCACTCAAATATCAGCATGCTCACCAGTTCCCACGATGCATTCCAGGCTGCGCTGCTGCGATGGGTCGCAAAATGAAATCGAGCCGACGGACGCAAAGCTCTTGTTCAATGTCCCTCAATCCAAACAACTCTGTCTTGATGAACTCGAATACCGATGGGGTTGCACAAGCAGCATCGAGCGTACAAAACGGAGCGCAGCCCGAATGTGCGGGCTGTCAGAAACCTATAAGGGAAAGGTGAGATACATGTATTTATCCTCGGAGATCGTGGTTCCCCTGAAGGCAGGTGCTTCGATCGCGTGAAGTTGACACCAGGAAGTTGGGCGATCGACACTGCTGTATGAGACTTTATTCCCAGCTAATTTCTTCTTCTTTTCGAGTTCAGGTATCTGTTACGAGCCCTGGACCAGCTATGGCACGAAGATTGTTTGAAATGCGCGTGTTGCGACTGTCGTCTAGGAGAAGTGGGATCAACGCTTTTCCATAAAGCGAATTTGATCCTGTGCAAGCGGGATTACCTCAGGTAATTTTGTACGAATCCGCGCGAGGATCTCGATTTCATTCAAATGATCCATCGTGGAGTCGATTCCGTGAAACTCGAGAGACATCGATGAAAGTCCCCGGGAGCTCCATCGTACACCGCACAGGAATAAGACGATATCCTACCGAAAGTGGGCTTTCCGTGCGGAGGTTTGCGATCGCCCGAATATCGCTCATGAGCCCTAGTAGGTTGAGACGCAAGCTGCCATCATCGTACGTTTGGCTTGCTGAAACGACTGAGAAAATCCCCGAAGACTCTGGACACGGATACACCCCGACCGACCACCTACGGAAGTCCAGTCGCTATGCCATAAACATGAAGTGCTCCTACGCATGGGGTCATAACAGTTTCCTGTAGTCGATTCCCTCATGACCGAGTAAAAGTCACGTAACTCCTCCGCGAGCCAAGAACATTCGCCAAAAAGTCTCGCTCGCGGAACGCGTGTCGGCAAATCGATTTCGTTTCCTTCGTCTTCCGGGGACCGGTGGGGCGTTCGAAAGTTGTTTCCCCATGCTTCGATCGGGGCGACTAGGACGACGTGAGACTATTCAGAATAATCTCGAGCGAAATACTCCTGGAGCTCCGTCCAGTGAAAACTGCATTAAAAATGACTGCGTCGAACCATCCAAACCCTCATGCATTCTTCTATTTTCCATGACAATATTCTCGTCCCACTGGGTGATTATTCTAGGCTGGAGATTATTCCAGGCAGGGAACTCTTCGATATCGAAGCCGTTCGTATGCGCGGCGAACCCAAGTTCTCTGTGAGTACGAGTCGCGATTCGTAAACCAACGCAACTTGTTTCCAATTCAGAATTAGGAGAATTGTCGAGGTAGCTTCTCGAATATTTCGAGACGGCTCCAGCATCTTGGGCAGAGATGTCCTTGGTCTGAACCCGGGTTCAAATGAGTGTATTTGATCTGAATGATTCCTGAGAGCATCTCCAAGAGAAGTCTTGTCTTGACCCTCGTCCGACGAGGGAAGGACGAAAGTTCACTCCGCGAAACCTCGGAAGACCCCTCGCTCCTTCTTCTCCCTCTTCCAATGCCTTAGATCGAATGGCTCGATTTCGTCGCGGGTGTTCGAAAATGTTCTCGGAGGTGTTACAGATACGGGGAGGTAGATATTCCCCTCGCGTTCGCTCGTTGGCTTCAGACATCGCAGCCACTCTTTCGCAGAATTCAACTCGTGCTCATTGGGGACTCGCTCCGAAGTTAGTCGTCGATCTAATTCGCTTCGAATCCGCTTGCGTGGCGCTAGGAGTTCCGCGGAATCCGCGACTATTGGCAGATCTTCGAATTTCCAGCATGCGATGAGAAAACACCTCAGCAGCTGGAGGCGACCACGACTTTATGATCCGGACAAGGATTTCCCCGCACCGGCTGCGAACAGTCGAATATGGATGTGCGACTCGGTCGTAGCATTGAAATTTTTTATTCGCGCGTCGCTTTCTCCAGACCCGAGCCCGATTTCGAATTCTCCGACTTCGGCATAGAGCAGTTCTCCCTGCTGGATTCCATTGGCGACTCCCGAGATCGCTTACTTGGACAACTCTTGAGCGGAGGGACCAGCGCTAGAACTGAATGCTCGTTTCGGAACTTGATTCATTTCGGTTCTCTTCGTTTACAGGTTATTCGGTGTTACTGGTCTATGTTCAGCCTGTCACAAACAGATTCCGGCGTTCGAGATGGTGATGCGCGCGAGAGGCAATGTATATCATCTCGAATGCTTCGCGTGCCAACAATGCAACCACCGGTAAGCGATGGACCTCCATCACGGCTCGATCTCCCCTTTTCTAGCATTGTTCTACTCATCAACATCTTTGATGATTCCTCCGGAGCTAGCAGCGAGCTACATCGCCGGAGAGAGGCAACAAATAGAGCAACGAACATTTCGAACAATGATGAACGAAAGTTTCCAACTCGTTAGCGAGGCGTTTAACTCAATTAGGATAGTCGTCAACCTCTTCAAAGTGTCGTTGGTGGGACTCGCATGCCTCGCGACTGGTCGACTGGGACGGGTCGGGTGCGCGAGCGGAACAGCGGGAGCAGAAGAAAGAAACTTGAGACTTTCGCTAGGGAGGAGAGGACCAACCAGCCAGGCGATATGACTGTGTTGCGCGCGAGCTCGTGGATTGCTCTTGTTTGCGGAGTTTGTTGAAATTGTTCACGAACGAGAGGAAGGGAGCGATCGAGAAACGACTACGAAGAGGAAAAGTGTCGCGACGAAGAATAATAGCTTCATTGATTATCGCTGTCGGTCGAATTGCCAGCGGCTCGGTAGCCAGCAGTCAGTGACAATAATCTCGGCCATATGTTGCTTTCGTTTCTACGATGTCGGTCGTTGTTGGTATCGTTTCGAGTTGGCAGCGGCGGAGAGGAAAGACGAGAATGCGAGTGGGTGGGACAGTGGGCAAATCAAGTTACTGCTACGACAACGATAACAACAACGACTCGTTCTCCGCCGAGCCGATGGACGGGGGGTGCGAAGACAACAACGACGCTCGAGGAGACAGCGCCGCTAAGAAAGATCGATGTTTCGTTTCAGTTTCTGTGTCGGAGACCGCTTCTACCTTCACGAGAACCGAATTCTCTGCGAGTATGATTACGAAGAACGTATGGTGTTCTCCCAGATGGGCGGCCAGTATCCGATCCATGGCGCCGCTCAACCTATGCAGCAGCAGCAGCAGCCGCCCCCGCCACACCACCATCATCATCAACAGCAGCAGCAGCAGCAGCAACCAGGTTCGCCATACTCGATGAACGGCTCTCATACCCCAACTCATCACACCCACCAAGGATCGTCAATGATGCCTCTGACTCCTCCTCAGCAACAATGCCTTGACAGATCTCCCCTCACAACTCCTCATCACAAACAGAGGAGCAGCCAACAGCAAACCAACTCGCAAGGACCTCCCCAAGGTCAAACAGGTCAGAGTCTCTGCATATTCAGTCGGGGAAGCGTCGAGAAGACCTGAGCAGTCGATTTGGTTGTCTAATTGTTCAGGGGGGGGGGGAAGACTGTCCAGCTGTGACCGACTCTGCTATCGTCAGGTCGCCGGTACTCCCCCGCCGACTGACATCTCATACATTCTCCTCGATCGATCTGATGCTCAATAAGTCAATAAGTCTTCCGTAGTACATCTAGAAGTCATGAAGCCCATCAGCGTGCCGTCAGATTCACCTCTCGGCTGAAACTCTAGCGAGAGCCAGAGAAGCGAAGCGGAATCATGGGCTGAGAGGAACAGGATGCCGAGGTTCTTCCCGCGAATTAGATGTAATGCATATGTTACAGGCACGCCTGGCGCACCGAGTCAACCCGAGGGCGATATCCTATTCGATGTAACTTCAAATGGATCGACAGTGGCCGGAACACCGCAGAGTTCTCAGAATCCCGGCAGCAACAGCGGGAAGTGATTAGACAATCTTCGTCATTGTCCAACAAGGAAGCGCCGTTTGGAACCCTCCGGATATGTTCAGATGATAATTTATTGCAGTTTGTGTTGTTGAAACTTTTGTTTTGAGAAGGTTCAAGTTCCTGATGTTTCATGTGCTTGGAAGGACAAGCGGAACTAATGGGGTTCTCGGGGTGTGAACTTTGAATATTCGGCGTACAGAAACATCGCGAGTTTGTCCAGTTGAGAGCATTCTGAATGAATTCTGTAAATACAATGACGCTCTTAGAGCATGACTTGTTCCTGTAAACAGTTCGCGATCGCGCCATTTTTGCATTTACAGTCTGACCTCATGGATCATGAATTCTGCCTCTTGTATGTATACTGAGCCGGGAGATGAGGACCCAGACAGATCGCCAAAAGGCTAGCGAGATATTATGTACTTCATCGCTCACTATATTGTGAACAATTTTCGATGAGCCATTCAGGAGAAAGGATGGGCGAGGAACTCATACAATAAACGAAGTATTAGGAAACCTATCTATTCTATTTCCTGATCGTCAGAGGTTTCGTTCAATGAGAATGAGTCATGAGTCTCATGAAGTCTGATGAGACATACAGATTCTAATACAGGGTTCTTCTAATGAGGAATGAATCGAGAAACCATTGAATAGAATTGAGAACCCAAGTCCCTCACGCTAAGGACTGGGCCCAGAGAAGGACGGAAGACTCGGACATCTTCGATCAGCACGAAAAACTTTATTGATTCTCTATCCTCTTGTTGAGCCTAAGGTAGCACAAACTGCGATTCTCTATATGTACAGAACTCATTCGGGATACTCAGCGAAAAGATTGCGTTGATTCGATCACAAATCAGGGAAGCCGTTACCATGTCGAAATCCGGGCGTTCAAGCTCCAGCCGAATAATACAGAGGACTGTAGTCGTCCTCGCAAAGAATCCGGTTGTTGTGCAGATAGAAACGGTCCCCGACACAGAACCTGCAAGGAAGGGGCTCGTGATGAAGCTGGACTCGAATATGGCGAAGTTCGAGCGTCTTCCCGAGACGCGAATTTCAGCATATCGGGCTTGGGGGGGACTCCTCACGAACCTATGATTGCACTGTTGACAAGCGAAGCATTCTAGGTGATAGACGTTGCTCCGGGCTCTCATCACCATCTCGAACGAAGGTATCGTTTTGTGGCAGGCAGAGCACAATCCAGCCGTACCGTAGATCCTGTAAGGAGAAAGTCAAGCTCTGAACGGCGATTTCGCATGAAACATGAGATCGGTTATTGACCGAGCTTACGGAACGCAAAAAAGAAACGAAGAATTTCTTTCGCCTTGGCTTCTCTGCACGTGCTCTTGGCGTGACGAATTCTTCGAGCGGCCGCCATCGGGAACAACAAGGGAAAACTCCCCGAGAAAAAAAACACCTCCCTTCGAGCGCGATGAAAGCCGTATGCGGGAGGTGATTCTACAAAAACTTGTAAATGGCTGCCGCCCAATGCCTATTAAACGGCTCAAGCCCAAGAGGGAAGTGAGCGATGTCAGCAAAAATATCCTTTCTGCCCTTTCGTTCTCCTTCAACATTCATCGCCTTGCACTCCCGGTCCCGTGGCCCTCAACCTCCGCGTCGTCACCAGCCCTCGAACGAACATTTGCAAATTTCAAAAGGCCAAAAGTGCACAGCGGATTCCCTGCTCGACTTTTCGACTCGTAAAACCAGCGAACGGAGCGTGGAATACATTGTGAGGATAATCGCTGACCGTGGTGAAAAAATTCTGCCTAATCCGCCGCCCATTGGATTTGGTCAGCGCTCAAACTGACTCATGGATCACTTGAATGCGTGACTGACCGGCCGAGGACTTAGGAAGAGAGCTCAGCGAGCTCGAGGTTTGAGACTTGAGGCTGGTGCGGTCCCCGCCACGCAAAACCTCGTGACCGCGAATTCCCGCATCCGGCTCCCGGAGCTCATTCCGAAAACGTTCCGAGATGGTTCCGGTGGGGGAATAAAAATAATGGGACTCGGTGCGACTCCGCTGCGGATCAAATGGCGATCGTCGTCGTGGATATACATACACAGTATACCGGCTCATCGAATAACTCGCTGCGGTAAAGGATTGCGCCGACCCGGCCGGATCGAATCGAGGGAACTTCGTGGAAGAAGCAATGCTAGTAGCACCACCTAAACTTTGAATGAACGGCATATATAGGAGCGTTTAATGGTTTTACAGCGAGCTTCATTACAAGGAGGCGCAATGGGGCCCATAGGCTCACGCGCCGAACTCACCCACACGGATCTGTCCGACACAGCCAGTGAGTGTGAGCGATACACCGAGCCGTTGCAGGAGCAATACAAATCTTAGGAGCGAATAGAAAACCAACTGCTCGAGCTCCGGCGATGTTGTCGGTCATAGAATTAGTGTAGCCGACTCCGGCCGAACACTCGAAGGCAAATCAAAGACACGACACGCGACTCCTTCCTCGCCGGATGGGAGGGCGAGGCGACTGAATATCTACCCGACAAGCAACTGCGCTGAGGAAATTGAGCCCTCAATTGCATCAAAACGAAATTGTTTTACAACGCTCCGCGATACCGCGCGGCTCTCGGGAGTTCGTCCGCGGTCGCGGAATCGCCGAGACCGCTATCGGCGACCTCGGAGGGAGGATCTCACCGCACAGAAAACTTCTTGTCGGCTGCGAAACCCTCGCTGAATAGTCGTTGGAGCTTCGTCCACTTGTCAAATGAGCCAGAGTTGGGTAACGAAGAATTCGGGGAATCTGGCCGCCCGTGACGACGAGGTCAGGCAATTTCGTAATGCGTTTATCTATTTAGCTCCACACGACTCGATTGATGATCATTTCAATGTCAAATCAGTTTCGAGTGCAGCAGCGACGAGCTCATCGTTCGAGACCGACCCGCGATGGATGTTGTATTTGGCTTCATATACCGCTCATTGTTGCAGGTTCATCGGTCGGGCGGCAGCTTCGTTTGTCGTTCATCCCATGGCCCAGATGGAGCTGTCCGAATCACTACACCGTCATTTCGTCGTTGTGTCACGCACATTTGGATCTGGGGTGAGCTAAGCAAGAGAGTAATACGGAAGCTCATGTCAACTACCGCAGCTGCTTTGGCGGAACGCCGTCCTGAAAGAGCCTCGCCAGCCGATATGGGGACACCGTCGTCGGGCGGTCATCGAAACTTTGAGACAAGTGTTGAACCCCTTTTTCCCGCTATTCGTTCTGCTCGTGATCTTCAGCGTTCGTTCGCTCGCCAGCGTCTCGCCGTAGCCCTTCGTAATACTTGAGGACCGAGGGCGAGTGGATAGCTTAAGTGCTCATATGCCCTGAGACAGCACGCCAGCAACCATAAAATAATGTTTAACTTCCTCTCCCTGAAGGAACGGAGTGAAAGACGGATGGAGAGGACCTGCAAGGACTTTACAACAAGCACGTGGCCAGCCATTTGCCTTCGAGCGAACAATCGCATCAGCAGTCTTGGGTCTCTAATGGGAAAATTCAAGAAGAGAAAAAATGGAGAGCAAATTGGAGTACGCGATTGAAATCGACCACCGTCTTGCAGAGCTATCGATCCGACTCTGGATAACCCCCTGAGAGGTGATTTTCTAGACGACACGTAAATCGAGGCATTCCCGCATACCAACCTGAGATAATCCCGTCGACAGAGGATGAGATTGTTCTTGAAGTACAGTGTTGATCCTACTTCTCCCAAACGACAGTCACAACTTCCACACTTCAAGCAGTCCTCATGCCACATTTTGTCGAGAGCGCAGAGCAAATAACGATCTTTTATGGAGTTCTGACAGCCGGCGCAAGTCGGTCGCGATTCCAAGAACAGCGACGGGGGTATATTGAGACTTTCGGAAACGTTATTGTTGTCCACATTGTTGCCGTCTAGAGACAACGCGTCACCTGTAGGAGCTCTGACGATGATCGTGGCTCCCGTAGGGAGCGACGGTGATGATTGAATTCTCCTTGTTTTAGCCTTTCTGGTTGGCACAATCGTATCCTCTCGTCGATCGCAGTCTGAAAGAACGAAGAGTTTTTTGAGCACACAGATCTCCCTCTCCCACGAGCACGTCGATTCTCAAGTTTTGAGAATCTCTGCCGATGCATTCTGCCGTACCTATCAAGGGACGGTCTGACCAACCTCCACTAATTGACCAGCGGAGCCAGTCAGAGTGTTGCAGATCACATGCCCTCAGCAAGCACGCTCGATCGACCGACCGACCGATCAGACCACCACCCGCGAATTCGAACGAGCGAGAGCCAATATTGTTTGTCGAGGGGTAAATGTTGCTAAGAGAAACCAAATGCGACCGTATCGGGGCAACGCTTTTCCTCTGTCGCTGTTCATTGTTCTCGATGGAGCTCGACCGGTCGCTGAGTTTTCTCGCCCAGTCATCGCAATAATCATGAAAAGGCTCACCCCGAGTAATAAGCCGCGCGTCAGCCGGCATTGCCCGGGACGACGAGCACGCCCCTATCAGGTCAAAAAAAAGCCCAGCAGAACATCACTAATCGCCCCGTTTGCTTCAGCTCCCTCGGTCTACTGTGTATATATATATATATGATTATGATGTGTTTGTCAAGGGTAGATAGCTCGTGGGGAAGGAAGATCGAAGCTCGGAATACTGAGGTGAACGAGGGCCCACATGCCAGCCAGCCACGCAGAACCCTTCCTCCGACGAGCTTATAAATGACCATTCAGAACAGATCAGCCTGGTCTTCCGTCTTCCGACGGGGAGCCAGCATCGCTGGTGATGGTGTGCTAGCTCCTCCCTCCCAAGCCTCAGACGCCGCATCGTGCGGAAGTTCCTCGGTCTCTCGCTCTCCACCTGCCTCTTCTCCCTGAGAGTGCTTCTCCAGTTTCAACCGAGAGGGTTAATGGCGGATATCCTAATTTCATAGACGTCTGGGTCAATATGGCTGCAGCCATGTGCTTATGTTACCTCCATCCCGAGATCCCGATAGATCCGCGATGCCCTCGGATCCCGCACTTCTTGATCTTGATTGCCCCGAATGATCGAGCCGTATCCAGGTGAGGTATGCCCTCCTTCTGAGCAGACGTTCGTTCTGCATCTTGAGGGCGTGCGATGGGAAAATAATTCCACTGATAAGCCTTGCAAGGGAAACGCTCAGACGAGCTAGCTGGGTTTGTTCTAAGACGATTCTGGGCTCTGGATCTCCTATTCTCGAAGTCATTCGTTCTCGGATTAGGTGTTCAATGATTATTATAGTCGTCCACGGAGGCGCTCGGGGAATTGCTCCTTAGTCTGCTCAGGAATTCGAGCAGTTCCCAAGACTTCGGAGAAGCTTTGAAGACTTCTGCAAGTTGTCTCCACATCGTCACAGGGACTCGATCGGCCCTCTGACCTGCGAATGGAGTGGGAGGAAGCGACGAGCGGCGCGGCGCCCAAAACTGATCTCATGAAGTTTGAGTGTTCCGAGCTCTTGACTCACCGGGAGTTTCCGTTTGTATTCGCTGCCACGTTGCGAAGAACGGAACTCACTCCGCGTCAAGCCTCAACTCGGAGCGACGCAGACGGAGAACGAAATCGGATAAACTCTGACACTTGCCAGCCGGCTCTCAACACACGCTGAGGAAAAAATAAAAACTGGCCCTCGAGCTAATAAAGCGCTTGATGCTAACTTCGCTCGACTTCCGCCGATTGGATTTAGTTTCTTTTCCGCGCGATCTCGGCCCGATGGACGCCACTGCTCCCCAATGGACCCCAGGACAAGTCTCCGAGAGTGCCTCCTTCGTTATGCGTCCTCCGCAGGAACTTTCGACCTGTCAAGTGTCGGAGTATTCTTTCTCTCTTTTGATTTGTTTTTCTCCTCTGCAGTTTTTAGCCAATGTCCTCTCAGCGGGCGCTCCCGCGATTCTTCCGATTTTTTCGAATTCTAAAGCCTTAAACAGCAACTTCCAGTCTTCGGTTCGACCGCAGCAGCACTTGGTGCACTCGAGTCTCTCTCCGTGACCGGTTATCCTTCCTCCCGTACATCGTCAGGAGCCAATTAGGAGAAATCTCATTGGCAGAATCAGCGGCAGAGATAGATATCTGCAATTTCGGGTGACTCTCTCCCCTCCCCCATGCTCCAACCCCTGCTCTCACTCCGAGTGCCTCGGGCGATCCATTATTTACTTTGAACGAGCGGCTGAGTGGGAATAGGCTTAACTAATTAGTCCACTTGAAATAGATAGAAGCTTAAGAGAATTTCAAACAGCCCGCGCTGCGCGTCCACCCAGTCCGATCGGCCATCGGTACCTTCGAGGGAACCCTTTCCCCCTCTTTGGTCTTTTCTCTGCCCGTCTCACCCTGATTCAACTTGACGTCCTCCTCTCCTTCCTCGGTGGGTTCCCCCATTCGAAATGGGTGAATATTGTACTGGACACGAAACCCTACAAGTGGACTCCCGAGGATTCGAACAGATGGGCCGAGCGTCGTGTTATTATTCTTAGACCCTCTCAGACATTCCGACAGTAGACTTTGACGCACGACTTGTCCCTCAGCTCTCGAAAATCTAAATTAAGCATCGCGGGGAGAGATCATGAATTCAGAGGAGTTCACGTCCCGAAGCGAAAATTGGCAGACCCATGCTTGTGAGAGGCTTTGGGCGGATCTTATCGCGGTCTGTGAAGCCGATTTCCAAAGATTGAACTACGGCCGATAATCTCGGGTCCGATCGGATATCTGAAATCCGATGAGCATTCGGAGGAGAACGACAGACCGGGTTCCGATTAGGCACTTTCAATAGCAAATCCCCGCTTCTAACGATTACAAACTTGACCCTCCGATTGACAGCACTTGCGGATTCGCCGACCCAGGAGACTCCCGCGAAAGGTTTTCTCCCGATGTCTCCGTCTATTTATCTATCTGCCTCTTCATTCGTTCCCCCATCCGTTTGTCCGTCGGTCTGTCGGTCTCTGCGACCGTCCGAGACTCTAAGCGAGAAAGATTCGTTTCGAGTCGAGATTTGTGCCAATCCGTGGAGTCATCAACGTCAAGAGTTGTTCGGAGAAGAAGCAGAATCTTAGCCCAAAGTGGCGGAAACTCACCGAGAACTCTTCACAGAGCTGTCACGGAATGGCGACGGTGCAAAGAAGGGCTTTCACATCGGGCGAGAGACAAACTGAGGGAGTTAAGTTCCAGTTTCCCGAACAAACGTTCTAGCGCGGGCCCCAATGAAAATAAATCGCTCGAGAAACCCCGTCGCGTCCCCCTGCAGCCTCGGCTCCGGGAGCACACCCCAAAGCGTGTCCCCTGGTCCACAGCAGAGAACTCGTTAGCTCGTCACGACTTCGAATGCGGCGCATCCACATATTCCCAATGAGCTCATTGGCCTCCAATTTAGTTGAGCTGAGCCTGCTGTGGATTATCCAGATGAAGCGGAAGAGCATCCGGACAATGTTCATGATTCAGACACGCTGTCCTTATCGGAGAGCAAGTGAGCATCGCTTCCCATTCAGTCGGCTTGCAAGCTATTCAGCGTAACCGAGTGAGAATCTTAGGGAGCGAGCGTGCGAGAGAGAGGAATTTATCCCACTTAGTCTATCCTAGCCCCGTGTAGGGCCTGTTGTGCGAAAATAGCAACTTTGCCGAGTGTAGACTCTCTCGACAGCGCCGCGCCGCTGCCGCAGCCGCAGCCCTTCGCTGTACAAGCTCGCTCCCCTGTCTGCCCAGGTCAACTAAACCGGAGCTAACGACTCGATGGGCCGAACGAGCCGTTGGTGAGAAACCAGCAAGGGACTAAGATTTATGCGCGCCATTAGATAGACGCTCCGGAATCAGCATCGGAAACCACGCCTCCAGCCGCCGAGAATTCTTCGACGGCGACCCCCACGCAAACACCGACCTCTGAAAGGGAGGGTCGGAGAGGATCTCTCACATTGGCGAATCGATTTCGTCGACAGATTTGTGGAACAGTTGACTGAATTGCCGTGACCGACCCTTCGGGGCGAATTCTCCTCGAGCAACCCGGCTCTCGCTCAGATTATCGCTCTCTCTTGATCCAGCCGCGCCAAGCTGCGAAGACGTGCGGTCGAGTCGCCGCTCAAAAACCTACTCCATGTCGGAGCAACGTTGATGATCCGCGCACCGGATGTTGGAGAGAGATCATTTATCGAGAATGTTGTAGATTTTCGCCTGAGGCAAGCAGCTCGCTGATGACCTCAGCCACTTCCCTGTCGGTTCGAATTTGCTGAAACCCGTCCCATCGCCCTCTTCACCCCGATGCTTGCCGTACAGGGTATCGATGATGGGCTGACGGTGTAATTCACCCGCGATATTTTTCGTTGCTAGTGATCTCTCACAAAGAACGAACGGTCAGTGCGGAGCGTCTGCTGTGAAATTCCCCAAGCCTTTCGTGACTGGATAGTTCTTCCTCTTTTTGAAACGGCCTTATCGCACTTCATATCTGGGGCCTGGACAATGTCCGAAAGGATTGAGGCGAGATGAGCCGGGCCTTGAAGGAGGAGAATGAATTTAAAAGCAGCCTGATCTGACTTTGTTTTTTTTATCGCAGCGATCCGGGCTCGGGGAAGCGATGCGAGTTGCATTCCTTGATTTATGCGAGTTTATTCCCTCGAGATAATAATTCTCCGATGAAGCTCATGATTCAGTGACAAGGGAAAATTCACGCTCGAGGGAAGAATCAGATTGGGGATCTGACCGGGGCGTCTGCTTGTAATGCCCATCCGATGTTGATATTAGGCCCCTGATTCTGATTCTGATCACACCGACACGAATCCAGCAGCGGTTTGTGAGCGATTTCGACGATTACGCGATCCTTCTTAGCTCACCGCGGCTGACTCTGACGGCATCGTCTACAACAAACCGCGACGATGACTACAGGTTACGAATGTGCGCCGCCAATAGAAGGGGACTATCGATCAATCAATCTGTAAGGGGATTCGGAGCAGCCGATCGGCTATACAGCCACCGGCCAGGAACATGTCATCAATCATACATCCATGGTGGCAGATCGTTCCGACGCGTTCTCCAACCGATCCGATTGGAGAATAGAGCCGATAGAAAAAGAGCTTTTTCCGAAGGAAATAAGGGGCACCGTTTGCGACCTGATACAGGGATCACGCCCGACAGCTCTTCCGCCCCATATCAATGCATCGATCGAGCGGTCTCTATGAGGGCTGCCGAATAGGAGTTTCGATAATCCGGCTATTTATCGAGACAATCACTTTTTTCGACGAGAGAGACCCAAAAGTTCCACAATGAACTCCACCGGAACGTTTGATAAGGTCATCTGCTCCCGTGCCATCTCTGAGATGTACAGGGTCGGATGATCCATGTTCTATTCGGCAGGTGTCTCTTTGGTAGTTTTTCGTTGGGACGCTGAGCCGTAGGTCCATGCCCAGAGCAGAATTCGGGAGTCGATCCCCTATTGGATGATGTCGTCCCACGCCGACGTGTAATTCGGGAGGAGCTCATCCCAGGAACGAAAGCACCGATGATGCCAAACTACAGGACCGCAACAGCGCTGCGATGTGAAGCGTCTGCGGAGGCGCGGAGATGTTTCGGAGAGCCATCGAGATCATCAACGTGAATGGCAAACCTATAACGAGCGTATTTACCCATTCGTGATCCCCCGTCGCCGGCTCTTGAGTCATCACCTCGACGGAACAGAAGACGTACCTCATTTCGTAGCATCAGCGCGTGGTACAGGCCTTCGCTATGGCGCGGTATTTTGTCTTCGAGTTCCGCATCTGAATTCTCCCGACACGGTGCGCCTCGCTCTCAGCCGGGGGGAAGTCGGAGGTGGAAAAGGGTCGAACTTATGAGAACGTGTCTGAGCAAACGTCTCGACTCGTAAAGTATCACCGAATTCCGTCGAATGGCGAGCGTGATAAGATACGAATTGCGTCAAAGAGCAGCCAACCTGCGAGAAAGTGAGACTGCAGGCCCCGATCGATAGTTTCTCAAGAGCATCAGTCGAGGCTTCCGGAACGCGCGCCAGGCGGCCACCACCTGATTTCATGACCCCTAGCTTTTGGGAGGAATACGCACGCAGTTCTGCTTATCAGACACGTCAATGATTGAATCGAATCAATTATTTTCGTTCAGAGAGGAGGCGCGGGAAACGCCTCTGAGAGCTGAATGGGAGAAGGAGCGAGCCGATCACGGACGGTATCCAGGCTAAAGAATGGAGATTCCAAAAAAGCTCGTCACGATAATGATTCGAAGCAGACGCCCACTGAACGGAATATTCCCGCTGTTTTCCGACACTCTTCCGCCGAGCGCTTGAGCGATTCCAGATGACCGCGCGCTCCCCCAGAACTATGTTGAGGGGAATCGGGCCGATGTTCATCCGCGTCTATAAATCGGACTCGCGTTTTGCAAATGAGTTCTTCGCCATGGATAGTCGGGAAATCGGTCCCGGGAGGAAAAACGCAGGCGTGTCGAAATTTTCCCTTCGGAGCCTAGATTGAGACGCCAGAACTCTTCTCCGTGTCGGGGTTAAGCGGCTTGAACCGTAGCTGATGAAACAATTGACATCTGCTTTCCGCTCAGAGTTCCTCTGATAACACCTCCGCGCCTGACGAAAGCGCGGTACACGACACCTAAGATAAGAGGCTCCCCCGCCATCTTGGCAGTTTGCCAGCGAAAGAGCAAGGCAGGGAAAAGACATTGTCACGAGAATTCCTTTGTTCGGAGCGGATCATGTGGGTGTGTCTGGGGATGTGTAGTAGATGTGCAAGAGAGCCGAAAAGATATGGCGGACTATAGGGTGAAATGGAAGCACGCTTAACGACAATCGAAATCACCTCATTTAGCGGCTCAAACTGCTGTGATGCTAGGGGTCTTATCTGCTAGCGGCTGCTCAACACTGCTGCAGTGGATCTTGGGGTCTACCCGCTGTCTGGAATGTGCACTTGTTACCGCTCAATGACCTCGTCGGATCGCTCGCTGTATCCCGGACCGAATTTCTCAACATTGTTAAATAGCTGAAGCACCCACACAAACAAGCAACTACTTCATGACGAGTAGAGACATCCAACAGGCTGCGAGTCCGGGAGAGACCAGGTTGCTTCCGAACTGACAAAGTGGCTCGTTGTCATGGGCGGTTTCCTTCAACGATGCGGAAGCCTGACTCGGGGAAACTTTATTTCGTCGGGAATCTCGACCCCAGCGAAGTAAAGAACGGGAGGGGGGACGACGCGCGCTTCTGAGAGAAGAGATCGAGGAGAAGCTCGAGCGCGTAGATATGCGGGCATTCTGAGTCAAATCGAGTTGACCAAAAAATGGCCAATACCAAACCAAAGACGACGCTTGAACCGCTCATGCGGAAACGAGCAGTCAGACTCTGCGGTTAAAATTCTCCAACTTGTTCTTGCGTGGCTGATGCAGCA